ATATATAATAATAATAATTTATACTTGAATAATACATGGTTCGTAGACTTGGCGAGATATCATCTTACTGTCTATCTAAAAGGTACAGAACCCTAGTCAGAAGCTCTTATCATATCCAGTAGCATCTCAGGTCATTGACAAAGTTTTGTTGCTTTTTGAATCTTGCATTTTTAAAATCTCTCAGTTGTATTCTGTTTTGGGAGATAGATGAACTGATTGCTGTGCAGTAGAGTTACACTCACATCTCTCCATCCCATAAAAATTTCAAGCTTTTCTTCTTGTTTTCCTTTATGAATTTGAATAGTTTATTTATGAGAAGAGTGATGTCTGAGTACAGGAAAACAGTCAAATAATAGTATAATATTATCAGTCTGTGTTACCTATGCTATGAAAATCTGCTTTCAAGTGTTGCCATTGCTAGGCACAAAAATCTATTGAATTTACAATCTAAAAGCTTGTAGGATTACAGATTCTTGAGTGCCATCTACTGGTTCAAGATTTACTATTTGCAGAAGAATACTTTTCATACACTAACAGCTTTCACAGGAAAAGGTCTCAAATGCTTTACAGTCAGCTCAGGTATTAGGGTTACTTGTTGGCAGTTGTTTCCAGAAACTGATTTGGTGCTTCTTACAGTAGAATATTTAAGAATTAGAAGATTAATAAGAATATGCCCGTGTTTTTAATGACAAAACAAAGCACTCTGTAATATATATGCTTTCATTTAGAAGCTTCTGATGGTTATTTATGGAACAACCTGCACACTGACTTAAAGACTGGAATTTTTTGCAAGTAATACATCGTTTTTTGATTAAATTGTTTTATCATGTTAGATGACAGTATTTGACAAAAAGGCAATATGATTACTTTTCACAGGCTACCGTTTGTACAGTCTGTTAACAAAATATACTTTGGGATCCATCTGCTTAATACATTAGCTATGACCTTTTTTGCTCTGCTCATAGTAGCATAACAGACTTTGTTATGTTTTCAGCCAAATCTATTTATACTTTGACTTGAAGCTGATTTTTATCTTGATGTTGCTCCAGTTATATAGAGTAAGTTTAAAATTACAGGGCAAAGACATCTCTTTACGTTATTCAGACCTGGGAATGTGTTAAACAGTAATAATACAAATACTACTTTATAAAATTCAAATGGCATTAATAGTTTCCTCCAGAACGTAATGCAAAATGACTGCTATCAAGAGAGCTCTGTCCTATGCAAAGGACAAAGGGCAGCAAAGCATTGCCATTAGAGAAATCCATATATCACTGTGAGCATAATCAATAGACTCTTGTCTGCATGAGCTACATTTTATAAAAGTTTTCCACTACTGTTTATACTGGATCAGCTCCAGCTAGTTGGGAGCTGTAGCCCATACAGGACATGACTGTTGCCAGTGACCCCACCTTTTTAACCACATCATGCAATTTCACTTGAAGTAGCATTAATTCATAGAGGGGTTAAAATACTTATAGCAACTGCTGAGACTACAGTTCCCAAAATTGCTCATATAGTGGAACCAAGCTGAGTTTAGCCATGTTGTAGGTTATTAGGAAACACTGCCAGTGCAAACAAGGCTTCAGTTAGTAAACAGAGAAAAAAAAAGGCTCCTTGTACCTTGGGAAGAAATTTCACACTGATGTCTCCTTTGTGACCTTAAATACATTAATTATATATATTCTCAGTTTTACTGCTGTGATATTTTTGGTTGTTGAAAGCAAAGGGTGTATCTACTCCACTCCTGTGCTTTGGTTTTAGGGTAAAGTTACCTGGATGGTTGCAAGTCCCCCTGAAGGAAAAGAAATGGTCTTTCTCGTCATGACTGACTGCTCTTTGTCCCTCAAAGAGCCATCAATCTTACAAAGACGTAATTCACCTCCACTGATGTACAACTGTAGCAGAGATATCACTCCTTTGTGACACTATCAAGTAATAATATTAGCACTCACATCAGGTGTTGTTACTGACATGTCTCTTCATTATTTGAGATGATGTTTCTGCTACCTGGTTTTGCAGACCTGTCTCAACATACTTGGCTCATGTCCGCTAAAGTAAGAAATGAAACTTTTAACCAGAACCAAAATGATACCAGACTGGAGAACATGTCACTGTGCTAGATAAATAGTAATGACTGATCACTACACTATTACACCATAACATGTGTTTAACAGCTATAGGAAGGTTTGCATAGGGTACCTTGAAAATATACCCCTACTGATGTTGCTTATATGACTACAGTATTTGTCCTTTATTTAATGTTCTGGCCAGAATCAGTTACGTTACTTTTAATTTCCTCCAACAGACCAGCTCAACATCAAGACCAGACCTTTCACTTCAGCTCATTTTTTTTGATGGTGAAGAAGCCTTTGTCCGGTGGTCCCCTTCCGATTCCCTCTATGGATCTCAACACTTAGCTCAAAAAATGGTATCTACTCCACATCCGCCTGGTTCAACAACCACAAATCAGCTGCAGGGCATAGTAAGTGGCTTTCACCTCCCTAATGAGTAATAGTAAAATACATTTTTTAAAATATTTCACTAGTAAGTAATTGGCCAAATCCCAAGAAACCATGAACCCCACCAAAGTTAAAGAAAAAAGCAAGCTTGTGGAAATTTTATGAGAGGTAGCAAGAGCTTTCCAGGTGAATCTGCTTAGACCTTCTCCATGCAAATATGAGAGGTCATAGAAACATGTAAATACACAGATTTATTAGAATATGGACTAGGATACCCACCTTCTTCAAGAGATAATTCAAAGTGATTAGGAAAGAGCACAGACATAGTATTGGTCTATGAACAAATCTCCCCCAGCTCAGAGCTAAGCTACAGCAAACTCTGTTTCCCTTTGAATCCTACTAACATTCTGGTTGTCTGCTCCCTTCTCCCTACTGCCTTCTATTTTCCCTACTCACTGCTGAGACACTTTTCTTCTGTCACTGTATCTTGTGACTCATAAAATGTCTTTCCCTTGACAGACTTTGTTGTTCTCTGGGGAAGAAGCAATTTCCTCTTCTTTCTCCCCACCTACCATAGTTTTTTCTTTTAAAGGGATATAACACACAAACTGCAAACAAAGAGATGCTGTCTGTTTCAGCTTTAGGCTGTTTCCTCCTCTGAAAGACAGCAAAATGCATCAGATTGAACTCATTAGCAGAACACAATTCCTTCTCAGGCACACTATGGTAGAAAAGCCAGATCTTTGGCCAGACCTATCAAAGACCTAGTCATGACCTTTACGGAACCAGGAGGTTTCATTGCTGCTGCTGGTGTAGTAACATAAAGAATTCTGTATTAAATATTCTTTCTTCTATAGGACCTGCTTGTACTACTGGATTTAATTGGTGCACCGAGCCCAGTCTTTCCCAATTATTTCCCAAACACTATTCGATGGTTTCAGAGGCTTCAAGCAATTGGTAAGCAGAGGGGAATAAGTTTTTGATGAATTTGAAAATTTAGTGTGTAGTTTCTGTATGTATTAAATCCTATAAATCAGATTTTTAGATTACTTTTCTGGTTTACTGTTATAATATTTAATAATGCAAATGTTAAATTTGGTGCATCTTAATCCTATATGAAGATTTTAATATTTAATTAATAAAATAACCAAGGAATATTCCAGACACTCGGAAGCCATGAAACAGATTCTATTACCGATTTTCGCTCTGCGACTCTTGGGAACTGCTTCACTTCTGTTTTAGTTCTCACTTCTGTAAAATGATGGTAATAGCACCAATCTTGGGGTCTTCTAAGTACTAAACAAATGCAAAAGACAGTCACCAACTCCTTTTTCTTCTTTGATGGAAAAAGTGAGAGGAAAACCAATTCAAACATGCTAACATGCCTCATATTATCCAAAAGCTGTAATAATCACTTTCACTGTGAATTACAGAGCAAGAGCTACACAACATGGATCTGTTGAAGGATCACCTTATTGAAAGGCAGTATTTCCAGACTACTTTACATCGAGGCTTGGTTGAAGACGACCACGTTCCATTTTTATTAAGAGGTACCAGAAGCTCTTCTATTTTGAAGTACAAGTTCAGTAACAAATGCATCATTTAGTGAATGAGCAAGTGCATACGATCCTGTTTTTCCAAGCTTATTTGCCCCAACTTGAGGCTTCCAAATGCAACTTTACACAGTCACAGCTTTGAAAAAAAGCAGTGCTAAAACACACCCATCATCATTTTGCATAAGCACAGCTCCAATGGAACAGATATAATGGAAATTTCTGTCAGCAGTAGTGTCCTACAAAGATAAGCAAGTCTTATCCAGTGGGATATCACTACATACCACACTAGCCAGCTAGTTACTGTTTCTAGGAGCAGTGAAACATTCAAGGGTTGTATCTTCAAAGACTACCAAAAAAATCTCTGAAGAACTGATGTCAAAGTTAACAGTAATGCTAGCTATTACCTGTTTAAATTTGCCCACACCGAGTCCTGCAAAAACTCACATACTCAAATTAGACATCCTCGTTCCCTAAAAAAAAAAATAAAAAAAAAAATGGAGATTTCACAGCTGTCAGCTTCTGGGGTGGTAAAGGTGCGTAGAGCAGCCAGCAGAAATAGCAAAGGACACAATATGCCTGAAATCCCTCCTAGAATTAGATACATACCCAAAACTGGGATTCCTTAGCTAAGCATTTCTCCTGGCAGACACCTACACCATAGCCAGACCTTGTGTTCATTCTTTTCCTTTGGGATGCAATCAAAGAAAGTGAAAACAGTTGTACTACTGCTGCCACCTTGTTGAGCTACTGGTCAGTGATTAAAGTTCTTGTCCAAGTTCAAGACGTGGATTCAATGTCCTTCTCAGTTCAAGCACTCAGCAGAGTATCTTCAAAACTAAGGGAGGCCAAAGAATGGTAGTAGATCTAGTAAACTCTTCTGATTGAAGTTTTCCACTGTACAACGAGGGCTACAATAGTCATACTGCTGGAGAAGGGTTAACCAAAAAGGGATGTAACACTAGTTCAATGAAGCGGGTATCTACCTAGGAAAGGAGGGAGGTATCTTCATATCCAGCCCCAGCTTATGCTCTGTTAACTACTGAGTAACGTAATATGCACACACAGCTCGAAGCAGGCACGTGAGCAGCTACACCGCTCCACTTCTAAGCGAGTGCTCTCTTCACTGAGCTATGCTTACTGTCTCCTGCTCAACGGCTCTTCAACTCCATGAATCTTTCACTTTTCACACCAAGGTAGGGCCCAGGTCCAACAAAACCAACACAGCCATCATATGCACATCCAGGGATATAAAAAATCCTACATGGGAGAAGCTGATAGGGGAAAACAATGACTACACCTCAAAACCTTTTCTAGTAACACAATTAACACGTAGTGAAAAACACAGATTCCCTAGTGGTATGCAGCTGAAAAACGAGAGAGGAAAAGCAGTAAAACAGGAAAGAGACTGGAGAGAAACATTGCTTCCCCCCAAAAAGTGATCAGGAAGCAGAAGACTGATTTAACTCCTCTTTTACTTAAAAATTGCAGTACGTATAGGTGGCTTGATGTGTATACATATGCAGTGATACAGATCCTTTCAAGTGGAAGGTTTTTTTATATGAAAATAACAGTGGTTCTATTTTACAGAGTAAAAGACACCCTATTTTACCATTTATGGAGAGGACTAAAAAAAAATGCTTCAAACAGTGCTCAATCTTAACACTGTCACAAGAACATTGTAATCAGTTTTCAGTCTGGGGAGCTGCAGTGGTTTCTCCTAAACATGGTATCAACAACTACAATGCAAAGGATCTCAGAAAAAAACCCCCAAGTATCACAGTAAAACTACTAGCTACAGATGCCTTAAAAAAACCAAACCAACAAAAAACCCAACCCAAACACAAAGAGGGAAAAGTACTCAAAGGAAAGGAAGGTGCCAATTTTAGGAAACACACAATGAAACGGATGGGATGCAGCCACAGGCTTAAAAAAAAAAAAAAAGTGTGACACACTCCTCTCTACGCTTATTGAGTAGTTACCTGACTCTATTGCTAAATGGCAGCATATAGATTGGCTTAACAGAACTTCGCCACTATTTCTTCTTCAAATTTCACTTTCCCCCTTATTCGAGTTCCAGTCCTACATCTGATTCCATCCCCTTTTCCTGCAGTATGGCACACCATGGAAGACACAGAAGAAAACCTTGACAAAACCACTGTCGACAATCTCAGCAAAATCCTGCAAGTGTTTGTGCTGGAATATCTAAACCTGTGATCAGCAAAATGCAACAAATCATACTCCATTCTAAATACTGTTTGCCCACCTTCACGTTTGCTGTTTAATTGCATTGGAGAACACTAAAGCGAAGCAAAATATAATGATAGCTTTTGCTAGACTGATTATTGATTCAGCTGTTCCTGGCCCAATGCTCCACATAGCCAAACAAGATAGCATTAAATAAGAATTAGTTTCAGCCTGGAAAGAATTTGATCTTTCCATGTCTTACCTCTGAATAAAAAACCCCAGAATTTTTCCAGATTGTTATCACCAGTTTATGTCACCTATTAAGATCTCGGGAGGGAATGCCTCCCAACTTAATTGTTAACTACTGTTTTTACAAGGTGTGACCAACTTTTGCAGCATTCAGCAATGGAAATTTATACATTACCAAAAGAGGCAAAAAAAAGAAAAGAAAAAAAGAAAAATCACACTAAAATAAACTTGTACTTTGGGTTGAACTAAACCACCTCATCCTGAAATGAGTTGCTAGAACTCCTGACACACAGACAGGATTTTTAATCCTCTCTGCTCCCTCTCCCCCCTTCCCCTACAAGGAGGGCTGAAAGGGCTTTTGTCCACAGACAGCAGGCCACCAGGAAACAGAGAAATAACCCAAATTCAATTTTCTCCCTGCTGGATACTTTTTGATGGAGAAGGTTGGTGGGGAGTGATGCTAAGAGGAAGGTATGCCAGGGTGTCCATCGTGCTGTGACCGCAACACAGGAGATATAAGCAGAAGAGTAGGTGGTGTGTGGGAGCAACCCCCCAGCACACGCCATTTGTTCATGTGAGAATCATTCACAATTTGACCCAAAATTTAAAAAACCCCTGCTGTTTCTAATACAGATTACATCAGAAGTAATCATACTAGGAAAGTGATCACTTTAGAAACTATAGTTTTATATAAAAATAATTTTAAAGGCAAAGTGCTATCTATAAAGAGTAAAGTAAGTATGAGTCAAAAGCAAGAAGACAGTTGAAGCATCAAAAAGTAAGGACAAGCCATAGCCTGTATCAGAAGGAGATACTTACCAGTTTAAACAACTCTGTGCTTTTACATTCCTTACTGGAATTATTCAATAAATTTAGTATAGCACTCTGGCAAAAATCTAGCCTGGAATGAAATCAATAGGAGAAGCTAGAAGAACAGTATTCAAAAACTACCTACAGAATTATGGTTTCCACTGGTGAGAAAAAGAGGACAGCATTTGAAGAAAAAAATAAAAATAAAAAAAAAATCAAGCTGGCAGAAGATGAACAAGTCAGTATTTTACTGCTCTGAACTTTTTCCATTAGAAAATTTTATCCTGGGCAGAGATTTAAAAAGGAAATAAGGTATGGAGGTTGTAGGCATATCAGATTTGGCCTGTATTTTACCATTTTCCTAAAGCAATCATGTCTAAACCTAAGACAATATTTTACATACATATTTTAGAGTTGCAATAGAAATATATATTTACAGCAATACAAATTTGTAAATGTTACTATTATAGGATAGCCTGAAAATGAAATTCAATCTGGTTTTGTTGCTCAAGATGAAACAAAAGCATTTTATGTTTTCCCCATCACTTTAACATTTGTGAGAAATGTTTCTATTTTGCATGCAACTTCTGAAATAGAATACAATGAAAATTCTAAAAATTGGACAGATGTGTTTATTTTCAGATATTACTGTACATCTGTGTAAATACATCAAAGCTATTTGAACTCTTTGCTATCATATTCTCCTCTAATTCAGCCCATGAGAAAACATTCAAAACATCTAAATTAAATCTTCTGAAGTTTGAATACTCTGAGCAGTATAAGGCACCTCCTGCACCCTCTTAAGTGGCAAAAAAAAGCTAACAAAGTGGCTATATACAGAAATATTAAACATACTTCCTCAAGAATTTGGAAGTTAACTTAAAATAGGCTTCATTATGAAAATGTGGGATCAGAAGGTTGTTAGAGCCAGGAAAAGTCTGTTTTTTTTAAAATCTCTATTAAGAGTTAGCTGAAATCATAATTTAACCATGTAGTACACCGAATCTCAGGCACATCAATTTTGTCACCAACTTCGCACTGTCTGAGCATGCAGTTCTCAAGTTGTTTACTCAGTTCAAAGAAATGAGATACAGGTTGGTGTAATATGATTCAATAGGTCTCAAAACATGAAGAAAACATGGAGAGGGTTGGGTTTTTTCCTTGGGTTCTTGGGATTTTTTTTTTTGGTACAGGAAAAGAGGGCCATCTTTTAACTCATATGAGCCCTGGAAAGGGTTTACTTAAAGATAGGAGGGTCATCAACTTAGCAATTTATATGATCCATCATTTATTTAAAAAAAATAACTGCTGGAAGGAAAACATCAGCCCAGTAACCACATGAATCCAAGCATCTAAGCTCCCCAAAGCACAAGAACCTGAAGTAGTCAGTAAAGCAAAGACATGGTGCAAGGTGGGTTCTCACTGCTACTAAGGCAGAGGAGAACAAGCGGGTAGGAGAAAGTCTAGCCATTTGAAAACATACCCAGAAAACAAAAAATACAAGTGAAAAGACCAAGACTGGTATCTCTTCCACTCTCAGTTTCATCACTGAATATCACTAAGTATCCAGAGCCGTAGGATCTGGACATGCACAGTACAGATAATCACTTCAGAATTCAGAGACAGGCTTTACGCTGAAGGACCTGTCCCTGGATAGTTTCTCTGTCCCGGCTGGATAGTGGCAGCAGGGGACAGAAATCAACTGAGGGACTTGAACTAATTTAATAATTATACAAAGCAGCAGAATCGCTACACAGGTTCCTTGAGTAGGATTTGTCACATCTCAGTCAAGGGGGGGGAAAAAATAAAAACCATCAATCTACCACCCATGAGAGGCTGTCACTGGCTTGTCAGAGTCCTCCCAAAAGTGTATGTGGCTATTACCTGGGTGAAGGGAATGCAGAACAGAACTGTTTAGGTAAAGCTACAAAACCCCTCATATTACATTAGTTGTTCATATTGCAGTAGGTGCTGTAGCTCCTTTTATATCAGGACAATGCAGTTTTTCCCAGGAATATTAAGCCTAAGTAATGGTAACTGCCTCTCAAACTCTCTAAAGCTTGATGCATTTACTGACAAACGAAGCGATCCTATGCAATCACAGTTGGAACAAGTTAAGGGAGTAAGAATGCCAAATCCTCTGGTAGACAGAAATGATAACAAGTACCAGTCCTCTTTTTTTCTCTAGTCAAGGCAGCATTCCTACAACTAGGAATGAAGACAATACAAATTAGCAATTCTTATTCACCACATTTCAAAGAAACATTTAGATTGTGACCACCTAACAGCAAAATACAATTAGAAAAGACAAAACGCAGTAAAAATGCTTTCTGTAGAATTATTACAAGGACCCAGTCTACATCGCTAGCAGACCCAGCAAAACAGTTCTGAAGTTTCACACATCTGCTCATTGAGATTGAAGTATCACCCGAGAGCATCACTTAAACAATCAATTTATATAAAAAGATAACTATAAAATCTTGTACACAAAATTACCACTTTTTCCTTATTTAAGTATGACACTGATTTTATTTTCCTCGTATAAAAGGAGACATTTTACTCTGTGCTGATTTAACAAATATTCTTAATATATTCATAACAATAAAGCAGCTAAAAAGCTGTTCTAATCTCTAAAAGAATCTTTATCATCTGCACATAAGAGATATACTGTAAACAATCACTCAAAAATAATTTTGTTAAAGTGATTATATTGCACTCAGAATTCTGGGATTCTCATTCTCCCTTCCCATTTTAAATCAAAGATCAGCTTCATTTTTTAATAAAATGGAGCTTTAATTTTCTGTTAAAAACAAGTAGGCATGCAATCAATATAATACAATGTATTCAAAATGTCAGAAAAAGGGCAAGTGTTTGGCTATGAAACTGGAGTAAGGAACAATTCTCAAATAGGCCACACGAGAGTAATATGTTGTAAACATTCTGCTGGCTCTAAGGTGTTGCAGATGCTGTGGACTGCAGTCTAGTTCAGCACCCAAGGGGTACGGAGAATCTGTTCAAGTGTTCTTGACTTTAGTGAATTGCCATGCAGCAATGGCACATGTCATAGACTGCACATAAAGACAGAGTAATGAAACAGAGGTGATGACTGAGCGAATACTGACCTCATATAAACACAGCCACTCATTGTAAATTCACTGTAATCTTTAAATGCAAGTTTTCCAGGTCATTACATTTTGTAACACAGCAATGAAACTGTTACTCTTGCTGCAAATGAAGTACAGAGCTAGATTCCCTACTTGTGGCTTACATGGACCATATACCAGCGGCAGTCTGGACACTACTCTCAGCCTAAAACATCCCAGCAAGATACCATCATGCAGAATGTCACCTTGCTTTGTTTGCAGGACTGATGCCCCCCTCCTCCATACATTGGCGTGAGAAACACAGGTAGTGGAGGAAGGAAAAAAAAGAGGAAAGCCATGTCCTTACGCAGAAAAAGAAATCCTCAGCCAGTCTGAAGAGGCCACAGATCTTTCAAATTCAAATGAAGGCTGTTTTCTCAACTCAGTTCTACAGGAGAAAGATTTATCAAACCCATTATCTTCAGGTAACATAATATCTTTGGAGTCCCTGAGATACTACAGCTCCATATAACCACCTTACACAAATGGAGAGACTGGCTTCAGATACAGATTAACAAGGTGGAAGCCAATATATAGCACCCTGAGTTGCAAGTGAAACAATAGGAACGGGCGACCCATTCCTCAACAGCCAAGAGACGCAGAAGAAAGTGCAGAGCAAGTATTGGCTAGGGAATTGTAAGATACATACTGCACAGGAGAAGAGAAAAAAATGTAAGTATTTCTAAAAGGCCTTTCCCTGTTATCAGAGCAGTGAAGAAAAAGACAGCGGTCAGAGGGAAGAGCTCTCTGAGAAAGGCCCTGAAGAAATACGGCCTTCTAGACATACAGTAGAACAATAATACAAAAGCAGAGACAATTTAGGCAGTCTTGTTCCAAGCATGCCCCAAAGGTTAAGCACTCTAGCAATGACTAAGAACTGTCAGCAATTACTGATCTGTACTCTGGATATAAACCAGGAATATAAATAGATACTTTCCCCCCTGAAACTACCGGAAAAATACAAAGAGGAAAAATACAAAGTCACAATGGAATCAGAGAATACCTTCCATAGTCAAAAATGAAATACTGGCTTCAGAAACAATACAGCCATCTGCTCTGTATCTTAAATAGGGTTAATCATAAAAAAAGAGGTGCTTGTAAAATCTTAAGATTGAAATATTTTATTTCCCAGTATATTGCTAAATAATTTTGCAGTTAAACCAAAAGGGAAGAAATATCAGAGATGAATATGGAATACTTACAACTAGAAAATGGTTGCTGAACCATCTGAATTTCTATAAAAGCATCAGTAAAAATGTAAAAACACGGTCTCATAAAATTAATTAGAATCTGAAATGCCAGATTGTCTTCATGATGGCCACAATATGGATATTGATGAACCTTTGCAACCAAAAAATAATTGCGACTTTGCCAAAAGGTGGCTGTATACAGCAATCAAAACATCTCTAAAAACTGGGACTTGTATTTCTGCAATTTCCTATTTTCTCAGCTATGGAGCATTCAGTAATTCATTATGTAAAACTCATTAGAAAAAAAAAATGCTACCTGGTCACAATTTTACTCTCATATGGAGTTGTGCTATATCTCAATACATTCTTGGAAAAATAAAGAAAAGTGAATAAAAAGCTGAATAGAAATAGATACTCTATAAAAACTACCTGTAAAGTATCATAAGTCCGGAAAACATTTGTGGCATTACACGGGCTACTGCTGATGCAAAGAAAAAAATTGCAATTTAACCATTTCATGAATATGAACAATGCACTTGTTCCCAGCCATTCAGAATGATCTGACATTCCAAATGTTTATAAAAATTGGGTAATAAAAGAATTAAGTCAATACCCTTAAGTACAATAAATAACAGTGTTTATTATGGTCGGGGTTGACCACGAGTGTTTGTTCCATATCTGCTTGGGACATTTGTAAAACCAGTTCTGAATCCTTGAGTTGCTCCTGTTCCCGGTATTCCAAATCCTTGATTGAGTACATTGCCATAGGGTGCGGATCCATGATTAAAGCCCAATCCATAGGGCCTTGTCTGAGTGTTTAAAAGGATGACTGGACTCACATTTTTGCCTGGTGTATTGAAAGAAAATTCTGGCGGTGGGCTGCTGGGCTTAGCTGGAGTGGATGTAGCAGGGTTCAAATGATCAACAGCTTTCAAAGATGGCATTGGAATAATATGATGATCCGAAAGGTTCAGAATGTTGTTTGCGATAGGCACAGCTGATAAGGTAGGTCTGATCCAGTCATCTTTGAAAATCTGAACAGTCAAGGTAGAGACCAATGTGTACAATCTGTTAGTGACATGGGCAAGTACCATTTGTTCATTTGCATCTCTCCGAATTCGGACATGTACTGATCCAGCCTAGAAAGCGATAAAAATAAATTGGCTGTTAACTGTTACTTCAATAAAGATCCTCCATGTGCATTCAAGACGACGTACATTATCCTGCAGAGACCTCTTGCCGTGGAGACTACCGACTACAGTGAGAAACTTATTAAGTAATTCCATAATTAGGATACATTTTGATCTTTTCTAGTGCACTGATCTCTTACAAATGTATCAAGATCATCATTCACGAAAAGTGACTCTTACAACCAAACTATGAAATACAACATGTGATGGCAGGAAAGGAAAGGCAACAGCTGGGAAAAAAAGTGGCCCAAAAGAACAAAGTGCGTACAAACTCCATATGCCAAATTTAGGAAAAAGTGTCATCAGTGTGCTGTTGGAGCAGGCAAGAGGACAACACGCATGGCAGACACACTCAAATCAGACCCATTAGCAAGAACAGAGGCAATGCTCCTTGTGGAACTCAGACTAAGAGCTTCTCCTGGACATTCATATAGCTGCGGGCTGCCCCTGCCTTCCTCTCAGTAACACCCTCTCATTTACCTTGAACTACTGCTGCAGAACAGAACAAGACACAAAACAGAACCCCCTCCCATGATTTTTCAGTTCATATTTAATAAAGAACAGGGTTCACAGCTTATGCTATATAAGCCATTTTTACAGCAGATGGTACAGCTGAAAACATATCCAGGTCTCAGGAAGTTTCTAGTACAATTCAGAAGATGCCAATAGGTAAATATTCATACAAAGGTTTTATAAACATCTGTGATCAATCCAACAATGCTGTGACCTGGTATTTTGGGCAGCAGAACAGTAAACTGAAAGCTCTTTTCACATCAGCAAGTCAGAGCTGCTGCTTTTTTCTTTTTTTTAAGAAGGGTAGCATACTAGAAGAATTCAGAAGTAGAGAAAAACTCTAAAAGTTTTAATTTTCTGGCTGTCACAACATACTGCATCAACTTAGGAATAACTGAGTTCTGTGCGACCAGTCTGTATCACAAAAACCCCCTTTGGTTCTTTCAGCTTACAGAATATCAGTATACAACTGTAGCTGGTTTCTTCCACCCCCTCCCCCAGAAGTGCTGAAAACACGATTCTACTGTAGACCTATGGTACCTGAAGATTTACAGCTTTCTTTTTCTCCCCTTTGAGACAATTTACACTAATATACAATTTGAAAAATGTCTTTACTATTACTTGGGGTTTTCTTCACTGCCAAAATACAAACGAAATTCTACAGTTGCAAAATACATGCTTTAATCCAGAGCTGCAATATACGTAAATAACATTAACCAATAACAAAGCTTTAAAAAAAATATGAAGGATGGGGGAAGAAAAGTTTTGCAATAAATCACAAGGACTGAGTACTGACTCCATCAAATTTTTTTTATATTTAAGATTTCAGAAGAAATATCTTATTTTAATTTAAATAAAAAATTTAAAATAGTAACTGACAACTCTTTTTAAAGGTTAAAAAGACAATAGACATAACTTACCAAAGTGCCAAACCCTAATGTCCAGAAATGCTCATTTCGAACTTCCAAGACACCATCCAACGTTGAAACCTAATTTTACACAACATCCAGAAATATGAAAATAAATTAGAAATAAAGTTTCAAATCCTTTTAGAAATGTACTTTGACACACAGCTGAATAATACAGCATTTTCAGCAGCGAAATCAAAGCTTCCATACACAGAATGGATGATGTCTGTTAATGATGCCCCTAATGCTTATCTACTGTACTTTTGCTACCCTTAAACATCTAAATCCATCAAAAAGTGTATTTAAGTAACAGATTTCAAGTAACTCTTGCTGCCAAATTGCAGTAGTTTCTCAACTTGATATGCTGTAAGTTAACAGCCGCCTGTACTCCTTTTCCTCCCCCCACTCACATTTGTAAACCACTGCAACAGTAGCTCCAATTTAGTTAATAAAAACAACAGCCTGCGCTACTTCAACAGATTTCTTCCAGATACCTGAACAACACTATTCATCTTAGATAGCAAGATCCGTATTTTCTACATGCAGCTAAAAAAGAATATTTAAAAAAATATTTCTTTATCAGTCTTCTTGGACTACTCACAAAAACTCTTCATATTCCTGAATGTTCATTTAACATTAGCTGTGCACACTGTGTTATGTATTATACACTGACTTACCTCTCTAAGAAGTTTATCTAACTGGCCAATCACATGAGGTGGGGTTGTCTTTAAGAACAAGGACAAAATAAAGAAGAAAAACGTTATTATAAAAGATTAACTGGCCCTGTTTAAGTAAGAGTGTCTTTTAAGTCTGGTCTACCTACACAAGAGACCAATGGCATTATTAAACAATAAATTGTTGTGACTTCGTGATGCATATTTCTACTGCTCTTAGAATTCTTCCAGCACAAATTCCCCTGGGAACACTTCCTGTTCAAATACTTATAACAGATTTTATGTTGTTGGTATGTTTTTTAGTTTTGTTTTTTTTTAATTAAATAAGGACATTTAACAAAACTTAAACCACAAAACCCCTTGTTTTGTGACATTGCCTTACCTGGAGTAGTACTTTCCCACTGTAGACACTCATGGGATACATGGTACCAAATGTCATCAAAGCAATTGCTATAGCAGAGGCTGTGTCTACAGCAAAATAATTGCTAGAGAAAAAGAGAAATTTTAAAGAAAAACAGGTATTTATATTTTTGAAAGGCATAAGAATTTTCTTTTGACTCTTTTCCATTCTTTTAAAGTTATATGTACTTACAGAATATTACACATACTAATCTCATCTGAACTATACATCTTTGAAAAAAGATGAATATATTCATGAACTTGCAATCCCATTCATACAAAGTATAGCTTTTGATGAGATCATTCCTTCCATTTGATGGTTGGACTTGATGATCTTAGAGGTCTTTTCCAACTTTAAAGATTCTATGATTCTACGTAAAAAATGCAATTTCTCATAGACTGGATACAAAAAGAGTTACTTTGCTTAAACAACAACTGTACGTACTTGATTTCAATAAGCATATATGTAATGCAAAGAGCTAGAGCTCCAGCAATATCAATCAAGACAAAAGGGTTCATTCGTGGCAGAAAGATGCTACTCAATCCTGGGATGATTCCACAAATACTGGAACAAAACAAAAAAAAGCAGTTGTCAGGTAGCTGTTCATCATTACTTCAAAATCCCAGAGTTACACTCACTATTTCAGCATTAGACTTCAAATACACCTTGCAGTCACAACAAATGACGTCTCTGCGGGCTGTAAAAGCCCTTCGAATTCTGCTCAAAGTTTTGTAATAGTCTGATGTCAGCAAAAATTAATCAAGTTTAGATCCACATCACATTCTCTCTCATATGGAGTACTGCATCCAGCTCTGGGGGCCCCAGTACAAGAAAGACATTGAGCTGTTGGAGCGATTCCAGAGGAGGGCCACAAAGCTGATCAGAGGGCTGGAGCACCTCTCCTGTGAGGACAGGCTGAGAGAGTTGGGGTTGTTCAGCCTGGAGAAGAGAAGGCTCCAGGGAGATCTAATTGCGGCTTACCAGTACCTGAAGGGGCCTACAGGAAAGATGGTGAGGGACTGTTTATCAGGGAGTGTAGTGACAGGACAAGGGGTAATGGGTTTAAGCTGAAGGAGGGTCAATTTCGATTAGATGTTAGAAAGAAATTCTTTACTGTTAGAGTGGTGAGGCACTGGAACAGGTTGCCCAGAGAGGCTGTGGAGGCCCCATCCCTGGAAGCGTTTAAGACCAGGTTGGATGGGGCTTTGGGCAACGTGGTTGAGTGGAGGGTGTCCCTGCCCGCGGCAGGGGGGTTGGAACTAGATGATCTTTGAGGTCCCTTCCAACCCAAACCATTCTATGATACCTACCTCTTACACCTTAAATTTGCTTTAAGTCTATTTTCCCATCTACAAAACATTGTACTACACTAATCTTTATACAGTTTTTCTACATGTTAAAATACACATCTTGTGCTACTTTCTGTTTTCTGGTAACATAGCTGGTCGTGTCAGCTGTACACAACATAAGTACTTCACAGGCTCAGACATTGCTATTACATATACGTAAGTCTTGGGGGGGGTTTAGATATCACTAGTCTTCAATCCATCTGCCACCTTGGTGCGCAAAAGTGTTCTAAAGCCAAAGCTAACTAATTTCTGGAGTCTGCAAAGAGGGAGGAGACCAGCGAGCTGAGTAAGAGGAGACCAAAAAAACCCATGAGGGAACATTGGGAAAAGTTATTTATTTATAGTTATCTCCTATCAGTGGGAGCATGAAGAGAGAAAAGGGTTTCTGTACTTCCCAGTGAATGGAAGTGCATGTCACATACTGGAAAATTTAAAGGAAAAGACAACATGTAACGTTTTGTTGCTCTGTTTAGAACCAACCTATGTTTAGACATCATGTGCTGGTCTGCTCCTGTAAGAATTTTAATCAGTATAGTTATATACAGGTGCAGATATTTTGTAATCAGCCCTGCTTCACAGAAAACATCGGCAATAGCTGCATGCATACTAACTAAATTTAATATTTTTTAAATTAATTAATTAAATTAA